TTTAGATCCTGGCTTTGTTCTCACTTGGTCTCTGGCACTTCCTCCAGGAAGAGAAGGCCCCTGGACAGGGGTCTGGGTGTCAAGTGACACTGGGTGTGTGTGTGTGTGGCCTCAGCCTTACCTGCAGGGTGGCCCTGGAGGCCACTGGGCCCTGGGGCTCGCCTGTTCAAAACCCTCTTGGGGCAGAAGCCACCTGTCTGTGGAACCAAGAGGAGCCCCGGGAGCAGTGGATGAGACGAGGGCAGCCCGGATGAGGGCTGATCCCTCCCCAGACCACTTTGGGCCACCAACGGCTCCTACTCAGTGGGCTGAGAGGGAACACAGAGGAACACCGGGAGGAGGAGTGACATTCCTTAAAATCCAGTATCTCGTCTCCCCGGGGAAGTAACACCCACCCCGGGGATGCCGCCGCACCTGCCCCTGTGCTCACTGTGCCCTCCCTCTGCTGGGAGAAGCGTGGCGGTGTCTGACCGGTGGGTGACGGGCTGACCCTGACCTGTTGGTACTTGCCCCGCACACAACACGGATCCGTCTCAAAGGTGCAAACTTGAGGACCTCTTTTCCCTCCTCGCCAGCCTGGCAGAAGGCGGCCATCCTGGAGACTGGGTGTCCTGGGACAGTGCCGAGGTCACACCATGGCGGGAGGTGGTGTTACAGGTTCTCTGGGCCTGAAAACCCAAACCCGTGTCCTCTAGGCAGCTTTATCAGATGGACTGGACGGTGAGTGGAGGGCGAGTCGAGAGGTCAGGGTCGTGTTTCAGCAGCACAGCCTGCAGCCTACGGGACCCTGGAGCATCCATGGGGGCACCCGCCCCCACCGTTCCCTCTGCGTGGAGGCGCTGTTCCCACCGCCCTCCTTCCTCCTCCTGCTCTCCCAGCCACTAAAGTGGGCGGAGGTACCCCCACTTTATCCCTTTCTCGCCGCGGTGACACCTGAAGCTGCAAATCGCAAGTCGGCTGTGTCCCAAACACACGGAACGCTGCACACGAGCCGAGCAGGGGCAGGACAAGTTACACAGAAAGATTCCGTCCATGGGGCACCTGGGGGCCTGCCAGTCAGTAGCTATGTCTGATCTGGGGCTCAGGTCACGATCTCAAGGTCCTGCGGGAGGTTCGCCCCTGCCGGGCTCTGTGCTGACAGCTCGGAGCCTGGAGCCTGCTTCAGATTCTGTGTCTCCCTCTCTCTCTGCCCCTCCCCCGTTCATGCTCTGTCTCTGTCTCTCTCTCAAAAATAAACATTAAAAAAAAAGTAAAGATTCCATTTACGAAAAATTTTAAAACTGGCAAAACGCAACGTTTGATGAAGCTTACGGAGATCGTAATGACAAACAACCGAGAGCTTGTTGTTTCTAGAAGAGAAGAGCTTTTTAGGAGCTCGTCCCATGGGGGACAGGGGGCTGGCGGGGAGCTCACTTGGGCGGCACTTGCTCCTTGTTTTTAGCGCTTTGCCGTACGCACCCTGCGGCCCATCCATGAGAAACATGACAAGAAAAAAAGAAAAGAAGTTTACCCAGACCGTCATCAGCATCACAGACTGGGCGTTTGGGAAGGCAGCGTGTCTTCACGCCAACTCAAGGCGTCGTCAGCCGCTTCGCCCGAAGGCACCCCACGCATGGAGGCCAGAGGAGCCTGGTCACCTGGATCATGGTGCCCATCCGGGCTGCTCAGTTGTGAACAGCACCCACCGCCCCATTGGCCAGCCTGGCCCATTTACCTCCCTCAGCCTCAGAGCCGGGTCTCCCCCAGTGCTAGGGCATCCTGCTTGTTTTCATCAGCACTGACACCAGTGGTGGCTGGGCTAAGCCTGCATACAAACCCCCTGTGTCTCAAACACGGCAGGTGCCCTGGGGTGCCCCGGGACTTGTCCGAGGTGAGCTTATCCAAGGGTCAAGCTCTTTCCGAGAGACTGGAGTGTGGCCAAGTCCACACGTCAGGGGACGAGATTTTACAAGTATAGCAGCCAGCAAAGTACCTGGGGCCTCAATGAAGTAGTCTCTTCAAGCCTTTCATGTTTAAATTTCCATAATAAAATGAAATGCCCGGGCTGCAGCTTGGGTGGCTCATAGTCAGGGGGTTGAGCCGTCACACTTCGCTCAGGTCATGACTACAACCGTGAGTTCGGAAGCCCTCTGCTGGCCGGGTTTGAAGGATGGTTCAGAGCCTCCGAGCCTGCTTCCGATTCTGTGTCTCCCTCCCTCCCCCGCTCATGTTTGCCCTGTCTCAAAAAAAAAAAAAAAAAAAAAATGAAAATGCCCTCTTGTGAAATGACGGTACAAGCCCCGCCTGGCAGATCAGCAGTGGAGACCGCAGATCGGGTTTGTTTCTTGGGGGGGAGCCACACGTGCGGGGGGCCCCGGACCCGAAGAAGCCTCACCAGGGTCAGCCGCGTGCCAAGCGACAGCCTGGCAGCACCCAGGCGAGAGGCTGTCTGCTGCAAAGGCTCTAGAAACCAACTTGAATACCATTGTTGTGTGCTGTAAATCGAGACTTTTTCCAATTTTTAGAACTCACTCGGGAGTTTTAGCCCCTTTTTGTAAGGAATCCCGAACTGAAAGGTGAGAAAGGGACAATTAATCACTCAGTTTGGACGCTGCCTCAGTTACCACGTTACCCATCATTTCTCCAATAAGAGCTCATTCAAAAGAAGTGAACTCTCGGGGCGCCCGGGTGGCTCAGTCGATCAAGCGTCCGACTTTGGCTCAGGTCACGGTCTCACAGTTGGTGAGTTCGAGGCCTGCATCGGGCTCTGCCGTGCCGAGCCTGCTTGAGATTCTCTGCCCCTCCCCTACTCTCCCTCTCTCAAATAAACTTAAAACAAAACAAAAAACAAAGAATTGTGTGAAAACGAAAAGTGAACCATCACCAGTTACCAGGCACGGCTGCCCCCAGCCGCCAATGTCAGAAATGTTTACAGTGATTTTTATCTACTGTAACACGGGTGCACAGTCACCTCGTCTGTTAGGCCCACTGTGTCAAAACAGCAAGCAGACCCCAGGACCATCAGCTGCCGGGTTAGGGGTGTGGACACCTTTCGTGAGACCTTATCTCACCTACATTCTTGCTTCCCGTCTGGCTTCAGTCTGAAGATCCGGCATCGACCGTTGAGGACAAGAAACATCTCCGTGATGCTGTGCTGGGCCCGGGCTCATCACAAATCACAAGGGATTCAATGACTCTTCCCACGTAAACCTCCACGGACCTGCGGTCTGCCACGGGGAGACTGCTCAGGCCTCTGTGCCGGGCTGTCTCCGGCCCGCCGCGGCCCCAGCACACCCAAACCGGCGGGTTCGGGACCAGAAGCCCCCCATGTCCCTCCACTGCAGACCAGTCTCAGGCACGGAGGACGGACAGGTACAGGCTTCCCGGTCACCGTCAGTTCAGCTTTCTCACGTCAGTGGCAACACTGAAAGGCTCCTTTGGTGGGATTTTCCTGTATGTTTTTAATAGACACTTTCACAAGAAAAGGGAATTCTAATCTCAGTTAAGAACTATAAAGTAGGGGCACCTTGGTGGCTCGGTTAACCATCAGACTCTTGATTTCGGCTCAGGTCCTGAAATCACATGTCATGAGATCAAGCCCCGCGTCAGGCTCCGTGCTGACAGCCAGGAGCCTGCTTGGGATTTTCTCTCCCTCTCTCTGTCCCTCCCCACTCATGCGGTGTCTGACATTTAAGAAACACAAAGTAAAAAATTTTCACATTCAGATACGGTGGAAATTACTCCACAATCTTCACAAATTGACCAAATTTGGACAGAGTAACTATAGTGCTGGTACTGATGCCTGGAAGTATGGAGAATGAGAGAACTTACACAAAACTTCCCGTATTGCCGACTCAAAACCGCCATGAATTCATCCCAAATCATCTGCTCACTACCATGCAAAAAATAGGAAAACTCACACCAAACCTAAACAAGACTAGGGATTAATCATTAAAATCACTATTAAAAATTTGATCACAAAAAAAGTGGCTTTCGTGAAAAAGGAAAACAAAACAAAAAAGCCCACGCTGGTCAACTACTTCCTTCCGATACTCGTGCGCCGTCACGGTGGCAAGATGTCTCCTCCTAGGCCAAGGGCAGGGCTGAGACGGTCCCTCGCTCCCCGAACTGCCACTCCCAGCAACTGGAGACCAAGCAGGCGGACGGACCGGCACGCGGACCGAGCAGGTGGACACGTGCACGCCGCCCATCCCGCCCTCCCTGCCGGGTTCCCAGCCCAGAGCGCGGGCGCCCAGGGGTGGCGACAGTCACTGAGAAGCAAGCTGTGGTGCGCCAGAGAGGCGACCTCCTCGGAGGACACAGCGTGGGTGGACCCAGACCGAGCGGATGGCGCTCAACGTTAAATGCAGCATGCGGGCGGCCGGCTGGCACCGTGACTACAGTTCGGGGACAGTGACATGGGCGCAGCCCCGCACCAGAGGGCGTCTCTGCCCAAGCCACTCTGGCAGGCTGGTGACGAGCCGGTGGCCGGGGTGGAACACGGGAACGGGGCCGGCAGCTCTTGTGCAGCTCCGGGCACATCCACGTGTAGACCCCATTTCGGGACAGGCCCTGTGCTTCCGGACAGCACGGAGGCTCTTTGAACGAGACTAGAAGATTCCTGGGTGAGAGAAACGGGACACGGACGGGGCCACTGGCGGCACCGGATCGAAAAGCCCTCTCTCCTACGGACGCCGGCACGGCCACCGTCCCGTCCAAGTGTCACTCAGCGACCCTGCGGGAAGTCCAGGGCGCGGACCCCGGGTTCCCCGCAGCAGGGTCTCCGGCAGCCTCGGCGGAGAAACGCCGTTACTTGCTCGCACGTCGGGCACTGGGAACGGGCACGACCGTTGCTCGCGTGAATTTTCTTTCCCCTAACGGACGGGGCGCTTCATCTTACATCCTACGAGTTTAACACTGTGGTTCTGTCTATTACCCAAGACCCTCCCCCCCAAAACGGACGGCATGTGCTGCAAAGGAGGAGACCGAGGCGGCCCGCAAGAAAGGACTACACCAAGTACTGTATCACTACAAATTTTATTCAGAAACCCATCTTTGTGTTTTTTTGTTGTTTTTTAAAAAAAATTCCCGTTATGAACTGGTTTGGTCAATCAACTACAACACTGCCTAGCAGACATACGGTAAAAACGGCGTGGCTCAGAATCGCCCCGATCTTTCACGGTCTCTCGACCGCCTCCTGTCACGCTCCCGTCCCCCACCGCCGCCGCCGCCGCCACCGCCGCCGCCACGACCGCGGTCTCTAGACCGAGAGCGACGCTCCCGAGACCGGGACCTCGATCTATGCCTGCAACCAAGGAAAAGAAACAAAGCTGTGGCATCCAAAGCAAAGCACACAACAAAGCCCCCACGCGGGCGGACGCTTCTGGGCGGACCCCGCGGAACGGATGGCACGATCAAGGAGGACCGTCGCGCCCGCCACACCGCACGCCCCGTGTAGACACGCCCCGTGTCAGGGTAACGGGCACAACGTCCTCCGTGTCCCGTGCTTCCAGAGCGCCGGCTCAGGGCCTTGGGGACGGTCTCCTGCCGCGGCGGCCCAGACACGCACCGCCCTCCTCCTGTGCCCGATGCTTCTTGTTGACAAAGAGACGGAATCACTAACGTCTGCACCTCCGGGCACGTGTTTACCAGGGGACGGGTGAGAACCCCCCCCCCGGGTCAGAACTCCATCCGAGCAGGGAAAGGGACGGTCTCCCGACGCCTTGGGTTTCTCTCTGTGCTGGGACAGCACGGTCTGCACTCAAAACACCAGGAGCGGGCCAGACCGTGCTCCCCCTTCTGCCCGTGGCCGCAAGCAAACCAAAGAAACCTGCCCAAACCCACGGACACCCGCAGTACGTAAAGGAAGTCACTCCACCTGCGGGCAAAAGACGCTGCGCACACGAACCCAATTTCGAGGGTTCCCCACTCACCCGTTCCCTCACTTCGGGACTGTGCGGGCGGGACGTCCTTTTAAGGGCACGTTCTCAGACCTTAAGATACACACTACGTCCTCAACGGTGACCTTCACACCCGGGCCGAGCTCTCCTCGGGAAACGCTTCGCGACAACGGACGGCGCCGCCAGCGGCAGCCAGCCCGCCGCAGTACTCACTTCTTGCGCCGGCGCCCGTACAGCTCCCGCCGCAGCTCTCTGGAGATGGGCTTCAGGTGCATGAAGTTGCAGAAGCCGCCCCGCGTGCACTCCCTGCGGGGGAGACAGAGGCCAACATGCCGCGGGCCGCCCCCCACCCCACGCCCCCGCCCTCCCGGCCCCCGCGGGGCCCCCCGTCACCTACCCCATCTCGTAC